ACTGTTATGTACACCTTGAACTGCATATTAAAAAAGGCAGGGTAAATATCTCTTAAAAGACTATGCTGTTGTCAATGGTTATCTCAGTACTAACATTTTCATTTTGTTTTCAGGATTCATTGTTTAAGATGCTGCCCTTAACAGATACAAGGGGAATTGTATCTGACAGATTTCCCAATCCTTCAAATATTTGGCAGATAATTAAAACAATTAGCAAAGGAACATATAGCAAGTTTTCAAAGAGTTCAAAACAAGGCAGCACTCAAGATCTTGGATTTTGTTCATGTAAGTTTCTTTGAAGTGAATAACTAATTTAAACTTGTTAATAATCTCTGGCCAAGCATTTGGAAGGTCCTGTCCTTCTTTGGTCTGTTAGAAGAATGTTTGGTACACAGACCTGAGAATATGTTTTCACACAAAATAATGAAATAATTACAAAAAGGAATAATAATAAAATAGCAGCAATTTGTAGCAAAGAGGGACAGGTTTCCAGCATCAACAGGCAACTGAATTATGCTAGTAGAGAAACATTGACGTGCATAACCTGGTCATAATAATGGTATTCATAAGAGAGAGTAGTTTGTATCCCATAGCATTAACACTTGACTCTATCTATCAGAGGTGGTATTCTACCGGTTTGGACTGGTTCGCCCGAACCAGTAGCGGAAATCGTGGATGGCCTCGCTGAGCCGCCCCGGTTTTATGACATTCCATTTATGCCTTTTTTTAGCTAAAAGCACAGGCGCAGAAGGCTTAGGGCATGCATGGAGGTGCTCACATTTGCGAACCTTTAGGGAAGGTAAGTAAATACCACTCCTGGCTCTAATGTATAGTTCATATGGGTTCTAAAATACGTGGATGGGAAGATGCAGCCCACATCCATTAAAATAGGTATATACTCTATTTGCGGGGATTAAGGCTGCAATGATCTTTGACTAATATGCTGGGAGTTTCATTTCCCAAAATAGGTGGGCCCAACACAAAGAAATGGTCAAGAACAAGAGGAAAGCTAAATGAAGGTATAATTCATAGGATTAATCTGTTATCTATTTAATTAGATCCTAGTTGAAAATTATAGACCATAAATTTAGAAGAGGTGTGGCCAGACTTTGCAGGTGGCACATGGCCATAGGAACATAGACTATGAACATGGAGCTAATAGTATTGAATGGTAGATTAAATGGATTAGAAAAATATCCTTATTTTATTATTTTATTGCATAGATGCCTCATGTATATGGAACAGTCATATCGGTATATAATCCCATAAGATTATCCTTATTTTATTATTTTATTGCATAGATGCCTCATGTATATGGAACAATCATATCGGTATATAATCCCATAAGTCAAAATTTAGCATCCAAAGCTTAGCTTTCTTTGAAACCTCCTTGACAGCCTCATTTAGTTCTATTTTTTGTAACTATCTTCATTACATCTTCTAATTTTGTTGTATCATCTGTAAATCTATAGTATTTGATCACCATGAATGCTGTTCCTTTGTTTTGTTCAAATTCATCTGTTTGCAGAAATTACTTGCTTCCTTTTATTTAAACTGAAGGGACTCTGAGTAGCTGCAGAGGGAGCCATTGCAATAAGCAAACAAACAAAAAAAGACTTTAAACAATTCTGAGTTTCTTTGGAAATCCAAGGCCGAGAAGACTTGACAGGTGAAGAGGCTATCCAAGGTCATTCATTGCAAAATCCATATTAGGGCAATATCTTTGCTATCTCAGATCCCTAATAGTGTGCAGGAATTCTTTGTTGGTCAAAAGAAAGGAAGGAAGAAGAAAGAGAGAGAGAGGAAAATATAGTTTGATTCACTCTACATTTATTTACAGTTTTGAGATGGAATTATGAATAAGGCATCAATCTAAGGTCTCTCAGAGGGTTAAGGATTCAAGTCTCACCAAATACTCTCCCAGTGCTTTCGGGAATGAATAATTAATTCTTTGGTTGTGAAAACATAACTTCCAGTTGCTATATTAAATACTTATTGTTTTCATAGTTTTAAATCCTGAAATTGTATTCTTGGCAAACAATTCTGATGGTGGCAGGATTGGGAAAATAACTTGTTCTTGCTTCTTTTTTTAGATTATAAACATAACTTTTGTTCTCATTTTCTGTACAGCATAAATTGATTGGCAGCTTTCATTTCCATGAAGTTGCTTGTCTCCTGTACAAAGAACAGAAAAAATTGTCTGCATCATCCCTGATCTTCCACATATACCCCTGTGTTTCCTTCTCTTGTTCTGTAGGTTGTTCTGTTTCCTTCTCTTGTAGGTCTGCAGTTTTTGTGCAGTGTCAGTGAGAAATATTGGATTATAAAGCCCTTTCAAACTACAAACCCTTTGTAAATATGGGATTGGAACATTGTTAGAACAAAATAAAAAGGGAAAAAATGAATGGCTTCACCATAAGTGTCTAGGCCACCTAACCTAGCAGAATAAATAGATGAACTTTTTGCTAACCAGTTAATTAATATATGTAGAAACACACCACAATAGTAATGGGAGACTTTATCTACCTTGACATCAACTGGGAAACAAATTCTGTATCAAGGTTAGATGACAACTTAATCATCCAAAAGGTAAAGGAGGAAACTAGTAAGCAGCTATACTGGACTTAATTCTTACTAACAGAGATGAAATGTTAGAAGTGGTCGAGGTTTCAGGAATTGATGGGAGGTGGGGGACAATCATGTTATATTGGAATTCAATAAAATGCAGACACAAACAATTAGAACAAAATCAAGCTAGTGCCTTAGACTTTTAAAGAGCTCATTTCAACGAACTATTTTAGGAAGGATTCCATGGATGGAAATCTTAAAGAAGAAAACAACTCAAGAAACTTGGCAAACTTAAAATATGGTTATAACCGCTCAGTCTACCACTGAAAAAGAAAAATAAGAAACCACCATGGTTGCGCAAAGAACTCTGATAATCTGAAAGACAAAAAGGATAAGTATAAAAAAATGGAAAGAAGGACACATAACTAAAACAGAATATCAGCATATAGTGCGAATCTGCAAAATGAAGTCAGCAAAGCTAAGACTCAGAATGAACTAAGATTGCAACAAATATCAAAAAATATTTAATAGCTTACTTTCAACATATAAAACAACTAGAAAAACATAAGGAAACAATTGGTCCATTAATGGGAGAAAATGGCAAGGAAGTGATGGGCAGCAGGAAGGAAGCAGATTTGTTCAATTCTTTTTTTCCATCTGTCTTCATGCAAAAAGGAAAAAAAAACAGTCCAACCTACCAAAACAGAACCGTAAAAGACAGACAAATTATAATAGGCAAGAAAATGTTAAGAGAATGCCTGTCCAGTCTAAATGGATTCAAATCACAGGTCCTGATGGATTATATCCCAGAGTTCTGAAGGAGCTGGCATTTTGGAACCATTGAACCATATCTTACAAAGATAATGGAGCACTGGGAAATTACCAGAAAAATGGAAAAGAGCTCATGTGGTTCCCATCTTCAATAAAGGGAAGAAAACAGATCCAGGAAACTGAAGAACAGTTAACCTGACATCAATACCTGGAAAGATCCTGGAAAAGATAATCAAGCAACATTTAGAGGCAAACAAAGTTACTACATAACCAGAAGCCAACATGGGTTCATGAAAAGCAGATCATGCCAAACAAATCTTATTTCATTCTTCAACAAAGTGACTGAATTAGTTGACAAGCAAAAGCTGTGGAGATAGTATGCTTGGATTTCAGTAAGTCATTTGACAAAATATACCACTTCCTGGTAAGCTAGAAAAACATGAAATAGATAGCATCATCTCTAGATTGATTTGTAATTGATGACAACCACACTCAAATTGTGGTCCTTATTGGAATTACATCTACATGGATGGAAGTAAGCAGTCGGGTACTCCAAGTTCTGCTTCATAAACAGTTTAAATGAACCAAAACCTGATTCAATGACTGTGGGATTACTATGCTTGATTGGCCAGCAAACTCACATGACCTGAACCCCATAGAGAATCTATGGGGCATTGCCAAGAGAAAGATGAGAGACATGAGACCGAACAATGCAGAAGAGCTGAAGGCCACTATTGAAGCATCCTGGTCTTCCATAATACCTCGGCAGTGCCGCAGGCCGAAACTTCCATGCCACGCCGCATTGAGGCAGTAATTGCTGCAAAAGGGGCCAAACCAAGTACTGAATACATATGCATGCTTATATTTTTCAGAGGTCCGATATTGTTCTATGTACAATCCTTGTTTTATTGATTGCATGTAATATTCTAATTTTCTGAGATGGTGGATTTAGGCTTTTCATGAGCTGTATGCCATAATCATCACAATTGTGACAAATCACAGCTTGAACTATCTTGCTTTACATGTAATGAGTCTTATCTCATATATTAGTTTCACCTTTTAAGTTGCATTACTGGAATAAATGAACTTTTGCACAATATTCTAATTTTTCGAGTTTCTCCTGTATAGGTACAGATTAGGTGAAACTAGGCTCAATAATTGGGGGTTGGACTAGAAGACCTCCAGTGTTCCTTCCAGTTTTATTATTCCTTTGTCCAAGTGATAGGCTATCATAGGCTTTCTGCAAACTAAATGGATTCATTTTGGCCTAGCTTTGCAGTGAACTCTTGAGTAGTAGGATAGGTGGTTTTTCATGGACAAGAACTCCCACCTCCAGCCTTTTGGATCACATCATCCCTTCTAAATCCAAGACTTAACAGGGCTTTCTCAACCACCACTCACCTTTTGGAGAAGTCAAAGTAATGGCTTTTCTGCTCTCTTCACTAAGGTTATTTTTTATTCACAATGGAAGCAAATGTAAGAGGAAAATAATGAATATGGGGTAGGTGGGAGATGGAACACCAGATTTTCCATTCCATCCCCGCTAGTTGGATACCCTTTTTGTCCTCCTTCGTCATTCTCAATTAGACCAAAGGAGCAACTGTAAGCATCTTTATGAAGCATCATGCGGGTGCTTAAGGAGAGTGGTTAGCCAAACCTATATGGCTATGCGGAAGTGTCCTAAATCAGGAGTCCCCAACCCTCAGGCCGCTACCTTTGAGCCGTTTGGAATCAGGCTGCAGAAATGGTGAGTGAGCATGCACTCACACACGTCCATTTGTGCAAGCAGAGGGTGAGCGCATGCGCTCCATTTGGATGCATAGTGGGTGTGCATGGCCACCGCTCATGCAAATGGACCTACATGGGCACGCCTGTTTGCCTGCTGCTCATGTGGAACCATCCACTCTGCTCCCCCCAACACTCCACAAAGCTGAAAAGGTTGAGGAACTGTCCTAAATGATGTTGAACCACATGTTTTGATCTCTATATCCTCTTTTATAGGGGATGCCATTTTAGATAAAATGACATACTTTTGAATATTAGTAATAAAGGAATGATATAAAGTGATTTATTGTTTGTATTCAGTAGTTGAAATGCTAGTTTCTAAATTCTTTCTTACTAAAGCATTAGAAATTAATAATGCTAACCACATAGTGCTAATCCAAAAGAATAATAATCCTGGAGGCTTATTTTGATCCAGTAGGCAAAGTGTTTGTTCATTTAAACCTTTGAAATGTTACTAAATTATATTATTTGACTTTGATCTTTGCAAAGTTAACATTATACACTTGCATTTCATTTACATTTCATTCCTCAGGAGAAATATGTAAATATTTACATTTAACTGCGGTTTTCTCACTAGGTTTGCCCTTTATCAGTTCTGAGCTTTGTTTTATTGAAATAAGCAAAACAACTCTTCCATGAAGAATTAACAGCAGACTACTTTTGAATAGTCTTTGGTGTGGGAATATCAATATTTGTCTGGATGAAATTTCTCTTCAGGTCTCACAAAGCAATTCAAAGCAATTCAACTATTGTAGATTTCTAGAACTCATGGCTTTAGAATAAAAATGGTTGCAGAGTAAAAAAATAAAATTTATATTGTTTAAATATTAATATGAAATGGTTAATGGCTATATTGTATTTGTAGAATTTATTTATTTGTGTGAATGTATTGCTTTCAATTGCCGTTTTTATTTTCAATCTCTTCCCCAGTATAGTACATTACTTTATATTCTAAAGGTAGATAATCTTTTCCCTCCCAACCTATAGGTGATGGGATATGTTAAGCATTCCCTTCTGACTCTACGCATTTGTTACACATTAAAGATATTTAGCTTGTTAATGATCTTAAAAAATTCTTCAGAGATGATAATAATTCTAATATACTTTACTCTTTAACTTTTGCAAAATCTTGAAGGCTTTAGACATTCTGAATCCTGCTTCCCAAAATCACTTCTTATCTAGTTTGGCTGATAGAATTCCACCCAAATTGAGAAGGTTTGGGAAAGGAAATGTCTATAGAACCCCTCCAAGGTTTTATTGTCAAAGAAATCATTAGAAAAAGTTGTGCTGCAAATTGTATGAAAATCAGTGTAGGACATGGACAGATGAGAAACTGTTCATATGATAGCTGTAGTTAATTTGGAACTGAAAACTATTCACATGATTGTATAAAGAAATAAAAGATAAGAGGTATTATTTGAGAGATAGAGTCTTAATTTATATGCTTTTCATATTGCATGCTGAATATATGATGATCCTTCTATTGGATAAGTAAAATCAAATGGTAACAGAAGAAAACATATTTTCAGGCTTTTTTAAATTGATGTGTTACTTGGTACATCTGAGTACCAAATAGCAGTAGCCAAGCTAATTATCTATTCTGCTCCAAACTGTTCTAAAACTGCCTTTGCAGTTACCAGACTAAAGTGAAATTTAATTGAGAAAATAATTTAAATAAAAAACAAAATGGAGATTGGCCATCAGATCAGATTCCCTAGAATTTCCACCTTGTAGCCCTCAATCTCTATAAACGTCTCCGCTTGTCCATTGTTCAGATTCTTCTTTCTTGGTTTCAATAAAACTTGGTTCTTTTCTTAAGGACTGTGCTCTTCCTTCAAACTGAACCCACAAAGGACATTTATTTTAGAATACTTTTATTTAAAAGTATACACTTTTTCTCTAAAAGCTCGCCAGCATTTTCATTTTTGCCTAAATACATTTGGTTTTCTTCCAGATGTCCTTCCTTGCACTAATCTAATACTATCACCAGTATGAAAAACAAGTAAATAACAATGTAGACAAATGCAGATTATTTGAAACCACTTCACCATGGTGGCATAATGGTTAACTATGGAACTATTATAGTCCAGATTTCAATAGGAGTAAAAATGGAGCGGTTTTATTTTGGCTAGGAGTTCTAATTATCCTTCAAAATATATTGTCTTTGAAAAGGAAGTATGTATTAGAAATAAATGTTGAAATCAATTATATATTTTTCCTATATATTGAGAGTACTTTCTATTCAGTCCATAATTATTGCTCCTTTTAATCCAGTTCTACTTACTTTAACCCATTACAGCTCTAAATCAGCCTTTTAAATTAGCCATTTCTAAAATTGGAAAAGTAATATATTTTCTTTACCTTCCAATTAAAGTAATCCTGCTCTTTAGAATAATGCCCTTTTGCTCTGCAAAATCAGAGATTTTGTGATGTCAGTAGGCTTTAGAAAAGCAAGTACTGGTAAAAGGTGATTTTCTATGGAAAATTATATATTCAAGTACCTTGCTTGAGCAGACTGAGGGCATAAATTACTGTCTATGGGAGAGTACAGAACAAAAGATAATTTCCTTCCATCATTATGTAGCAAAGAAGAGCCAGATGGAACATTAAGTATGGGTTCTCCATAACAACTATACTACTCTCAGATGTGATTGCAGTGGCTCTTAATATATTGTCATTCTGTAACATGCTGAATGTTCCAGGTATGGATTAATAGGTATATTACTGTGAGTTTTTTTTTCCTGAATAGGAACAAGTACATCAATTAAGTGTGATTTTGCCCACTTTCTTAATTTTCAAACTTTGTATTACTTCTGCCTGATTTCTGCATGAGTTCATGAATTTTTATTGAAGTTTCAAAGCCAGTTCTCCTGCAAATGAATATTTTATTGGACATTTCTTTAAATGATAGATTATATATTTTTGTAATAGGTGCATTTTTAATGTCGTACTTACCAAATGACATGTGATAAGTGTTCATTATAGCTTGATTTGCACACTCGATGTGTAAAATTGCTCTATCAATGCATTCTAGTTTGCAATTTAATCAGGATACTTTTTATTGAATGTAAAATTTCAAATTAAGGTTATGTGAAATCGTCTGGGGAAATATTTCTGAACTTGGTTTATACCATAGGTGGCCTGGATTTTTTTTTCAAACCTACCTAAACAGCAAACTCTGCAAGCCTCCAGTTTCTCCAATTTCCAGAAGGACAGCCAGTTTAATTTTTGCAGAAAACTTGAAGAATCTAGTGGCATTTTAAGAATTATGGCATAGTTTTTCTTCTATGATTTAATATTTCATCTGATAAGGAAGAAATATGTTTGGCGCAGAAGAGAAAGAAGTCTAATAGAGAATAATGAATGTAGAGATGAGAGATGATTGCCAATAGTAACCACAAACAAAGCAATAGTTAGATGTGACACAAACACTCTTCCGTGTGAATGGAAGTAAGAACCTCTAGACTCTACTTAATCTATGGGAAATGAGATTAAATCTGATGAATTCTAACTCAATAGTTTCTCAGTGAAATCAAGCATTAAAAATTTTATTTCCAAGGATGGGTACATTGAGTATGCCTTGGGGCGCTGAAATCTCTACTCATTGATTTTAGATGTTATAATTTCTGGTGTCAAATGTGGGTCTCTTTTGTCTTTTGAAAAGAATTTGACCAGTTTGTCCAGTATAAATAGTAATGGGTCTTTGGTGATAAATAATGGTATATGCCAATGTGGAACATAAGTGTTTCTGTTATATCATGATAAAATTAATAAGTCTAGGGATAGTTTAATCCAAATAGATAGGGAGCCATATTTGGCTTACTGATATGGAGAGGAATAGAATTGAAAAAATAGAATAGAATAGGAATAGGCCAAGTGTAATTGAACACACAAGGAATTTGTCTTTGGTACATATGCTCTCAGCGTACATAAATGAAAATAAAATACATTCATCAAGAATCATGAAATCCATAGTGAATCACAGAGAATGATAAAAAACAGAAAAACTATCAGAGCATTTCACCAAGGCTGCTCTCAGCAGCGCCATCTTGGTAAGGCACAGCCATCTCTGTTGTCTCTATAAGTGCTCAACTTATAGAGATGGAGAATAGAAATTTTTTTTCTTCCACCCTTCTATTGACATTACATATAAGGAATGTGGAAGATATATTTCCCCTAATGGAATACAGTAACATTAGCAGAATAGTTGATGTCTATCCCTCATAAAAATAAGTAAACAAAATAGATATTAAACAGTTTTTGGTAGAGGTTGTAAACTTTTTCCTCCCATCTTTTCTCCCAGGATGACCCGTTGGAAGGAGTTCCTGGCAGCGTATTCATATACGCTGCAGTACCGTCCAGGCAAGCAGCTGGGGCACGCTGATGCCCTTAGCCGCTGCCCCCTGCCAGACACCGATCCTTCCCCGGTGCCATCCCTCTCTGTCCTGTCCATTGCTTCCCTGGATCTCCCTCTCACCGCCACGGATGTGGCGGCTCACACTCTGGTCGACCCTATCTTGTCCCAGGTGTACTCCTGGGTCCTCAGGGTTGGCCTCTGGGGAAGGTGCCGGACATTTTCAGGTCCTTTAAGGTCCGCCAGATGGAGTTAGCCATCCATGGCGGATGTCTTATTTGGGGGGACAGGGTGGTTATTCCCCCCTCTTTGCACCCCCAGTTCCTCTCTCAGCTCCACAAGAACCACCCAAGCATAGTGTGCATGAAGGCATTGGCGTGCAACTATGTCTGGTGGCCCCAGTTGGATGCTGAGATTGCGGCTTGGGTGGGCCGCTGCTACCCCTGCCAGCTTTCTCGCCCTGCACCCCCAGCGACTCCGTCTCATGAGTGGGAGGCTCCAAGAGACTGTGGTTTCAGCTCCACATTGATTTTGCCGGACCTTTCCATGGCCAGGTGTTCCTGGTCATAGTGGATGTGTATTCGCACTGGGTGGAGCTAGTCCTTATGATCTCCACCACAGCTGAAAGTACCATCAGGGCCTTGTGCCGGTTGTTCGCGACACACGATTTGCCGGACGTTGTAGTGTCTGACAACGGCCCTCAATTCGCAACCGCTACATTCCAGGAGTTCCTGACCTTACTCAGCATCCAGAACGCACCCACTGCCCCCTATCATCCGGCCTGCAACGGCCGGGTGGAGCGCACTGTCCGCTCAGCCAAGAAGGCCCTTGGCTGGATGGAAAGGGGCAATTGGCCGGCAAGGGTGGTGGCTTACCTGCTAAGCCAACACTCCATCCCTTGCCCCACGACCAACAAAAGCCCCGCGGAGCTCCTGATGGGTCGGCGCCTGCGAACCCCCCCTGGATAGGCTTCATCCTATCCAAGGGGGGATAGGGAGCAGCCTTGCAACCTGGGGCTCCCCCCTGCTCCTTTAGGGTGGGGGATTTGGTATGGGCCCGCTCCTTCTCAGAGGACACTAAGTGCGTGGCCATCACTATTCTGTCCATAACCGGTCCCTGTTCTTATAGGGTCGCCCTGGCTGATGGATCCAAGTGGAGGTGCCACGTGGATCAGTTGAGGAGGCGTCTCCCCCCGAGACCGGCACTCCCACTGATCCAAGGGCCCAGGACACCGCTGCCCTCCAGCTGGTCAACGAAACACCAAGGCCAACAACCGCCGACTCCCAGTTTGAGCCTTTCCCCAGGCAGGCCTCTCCTACCCTGATGCCACTTGCCGGCAACCTTCCCTAATTGTTCCTCAACCCGAGTTCACGACCATTGCTCCCAACTTTAAAGCCTTCCCCCAGTCAGGCCTCATGTACCCAGACGCCACTTGCTGGCTGTCGTTCCCAAGTTCATCTCAATCCATTCCGTTACCTCCCCCTGGATTTCAAAGCCTCGCCTCCGCAGGCCCCCTTGGCCTCAGTCACTCGGCCGCCGCCTACCAGCAATCTGACTGTTCTCCTTCCCCTAGTGACACGCCTCCATGGCCCGGCCTACCTGTGTCGATGTGCCCACCTTCCAAGATGGCATCACTCGGGGCTCCACTCCCTTCAGGGAGGAGCTACCATGATCACGACTCACCCCTCCAATGACTTCAGTTGAACTGAGGCGTTCTGAGCGGGTCCGGCGCTGCCCCGCCTACTTGAGTGAGTACAGATGTGCCACAGCCGCACATGCGCTCTCACTGGGGGAGAAGGGGTGTTGAGGACTCAGAAAGTCCTTGACTTATGACCTAGCAGCTAGCAACAAGCCAAGCCATGCCCTGATTGGCTAAGGCGCAGCTTGGCTAAGCGCGGGCCGCTAGGGGTGCGCTTATTGGCTTTCCCTGCTTGACAGCTCCGTATAAATAGCTGTCAAGCAGGGAAGGTGCTGAATCACCTGCACATAGTGAATAAAGAGTTCTTCGTTCCTGCAGTCTTGGCTCCCGCCTCGTCCTTCCCGCCGATCCTCTAAACTAACTACTGAGTTTTACATTTTGATATTGTGTGTTTTGGCTCTGACAGAGTCTTGGTAAATCGTAAATTTTGGGAACATACTGTGATACAGATAGTTCTCATGTTGTGGCTGCCTCATTTAGCAATAGTATGCAGGTACAACCGACCGCAGTGAAAAATTGATTACAACCAGTCAATGAGTTTAGGATCTTCACAGGTCTATAAAACAAAGGAAAGCTAGAGTTAGACCATAAACACATTTGCAGTTTTACTTAGCAATGGCTTTGCTTAATGAACAAGTTGTTGGATCCAATTGTAATACTTCACAAAATGGTGCCTACAGTTTCTGTGATCTCAAATGGGTTCTCATGGTATATGTGATCAGTGGAAAATATTTGTTTATCCAGAGGCAAACTCCTGTCACCCCTTTCTAGAGTGGATACTGTCTCTAAGTCACTGCCAAACTCACCTCCCCCTCTGCAGGCATTTTTTTTGTTCATGTCAAATGAAATACCCCTAAATCTTGCCTATAGTCAGGGACATTTTTGCAAATAAAAATGATGCTTAAAAAATGTAATCCTAGCTTTCAAAATACTCTCTGTAGGCACTGTGAAAAGAAATTTTACACCAGCTTTTTTGCCTTATCAAAAAGACACATATTAAGCACAGGTGGGATTTCCTAATGTCCCAGTTTAAAATACTGCCTTCGGGTCCATGGAAAATATTCTCTATAGTCAAACAATTTGCATTGTTACAGGTAGTCTTCGTTTAATGACTGGTCACTTAACTACTATTCAAAGTTATAACAGAAGAGAAGAAAATGTACTTATGATTTGTCCTTGAAGTTATGACAATAGGGCTCTCCTCTACCTGTCACATGATTGCATTTCGGGCACCTGACTCTGGCTCACATTTACAATTGGGTGCAGCACATCTTTTCATATTTGACTCCAATTTGTGCTGGTTTTTTGCTAGTTTCGGCCATTTAAATACGTATTTGGGAGAATGGCTTCACTTAACAACCAATATGATTCTCTTAAATGTGATGACTTACTTTATGACCAAAGCGATTGTAAAATCAAGTTAAGACACATGCATGTGACTTGCCATGAAAATTGTGAGCTCAATTATGATAATTTGGATAGGATAGGATGAGAAGATAAGATAAAATAACCTTTTTTTTCTAAGGGACACGGTGACTCATTGACTAAGGCGCTGAGCTTGTTGATCAGAAAGGTCGCAGTTGGGCAGTTCAAATCTCTAGTACCGCAAAAATGGAGTGAGCTCCCATTACTTGTCCCAGCTTCTGCCAACTATATATAACCACCCACCCACAAACAGACATATACATATATGCTCCAAACTCGATTGCAGAGAATAAGATTTCAGCAACAGAGTGGTTAACGCCTAGAATGCTCTACCTGACTTTGTTGTTATATCCTCAAACCCTCACAGCTTCAACCTTAAACTGTCTACCATGGACCTCAACCCATTCCTAAGAAGTCTGTACAGGGGCCGTGCATAAGTGCAGCAGGATGCCTACCGTCCCTGTCCTACTGGCCCCATTTGCTTGTATTCATTTCCTTTGTTCACGTCCATGTTCATACTTATACCTGCTATCCTGTACATGTTTGACAAACTAATAAATAAATGTGTGTGTGTGTGTGTGTGTCATGGGGAGGATGTGTAGCATCTCTTACAATACTGCAGACACTGGTCAAACAGTATTTATATGCCATATCCTGAGTAGAAGGAAGTGACATCCAATAATCTTTTCTGCCATCTCTACTCTCTGCATAGCCTTCCTGTCTATGAGGACTAAATTTAAGTCTGGGGTTATCTCCTATTGCCTTTTTATTGGGACTCTAATGCTCCAATTATAATAACTCTATGATAGGGATTTTCTGGTAGAGAAACTGAATCTCTTATTAACAACAACAATCAAGTTCTGATCTGTCCATTGTACTAAACATTGTCTCCTCTTAAGAGTGCTGAGTAATTTTAAGTGGCTTTTCAGCTGTCTTGTTAATGTAAACACTTGTTGTATATTTATTCTTGCTACATAATGCTGAGTCAATAGCAATAGCAGTAGACTTATATACCGCTTCATAGGCCTTTCAGGCCTCTCTAAGCGGTTTACAGAGAGTCAGCATATTGCCCCCAACAATCTGGGTCCTCATTTTACCCACCTCGGAAGGATGGAAGGCTGAGTCAACCCTGAGCCGGTGAGATTTGAACCGCTGACCTGCTGATCTAGCAGTAGCCTGCAGTGCTGCATTTAACCACTGCGCCACCTTGGCTCAAATCAGTACTGCTGAACAACTGAGAATATTTGAGGGATTTAGAAATATTTTCCCCAATTCTTTTTTTACTATAGGGGAGTATCTGGGACTGATTTTATGAAAGTGTTTTTGGGCAGGGGGAACGTGAATGAACGTAACTTTATTTTGGGCATAAAGCTCGAATGGCAAGTAGGAAAACTTGTTCAAATGGTGCATTTATTGGCATGCGTTCATTTAACATGATTGAAGTTTCTTAAACTAGGTATTAAATTGTAAGTATTGTTTACTTTTTCCTCTTAATGTAGTTGCTGTGAATAATATGTGAGTGGGAACTGGTTTTTGGGCTAGAAATAAGATGTTTAATAACATCGTGTGTGTATGTATGTATGTATGTATGTATGTGTATGTATGTATGTATGTATGTATGTATGTATGTATGTATGTATACACACACACACACACACGATGTATATATATAAAATAAGATGTTTCCAGCTTATATCCAAAGCTGTATATTTGCCCTGGCTATATACTAGAAAAACAAGCAGGTGACTTAATTTCTCCTTTCCTTGTTAACTGCTATTTACTGGTTTACTGGTACTAAGCATATTTAACAAGGTTACATATATCTCTAACTGGATCAAGCATTTTTTTCTTTTTTCTTTAGATGGGAAACTATATAATTTTATGCACAGAGATTTATTGTCCCCATGATTTTATCAATCTATTCTTTTTTTCACCTAAGTAAAATTTCTTGTAACAAAGCTAACTCAATAATATTTGTTACATCCATAATTACAGTACCCATGGGCTTTGTAAGTAAAACACTCTATACTGAAACAGCTGTCCATTCTAAGCCAGTGTTTGCTTGTACCTATTATTTTCACAGAAGCTGAGACTGGAATCTATATGGCTAGATTCTTCTTCATTCCTCTCTTTAAAACTACCTATGACAGATTGTAGAATCACTCTGTAAGTTTTGGAAATTATTTTGTTTGGGAAACTTCATTATAATTTTAATACATTAATGGTTTTTAAATTGTAAATGTATAACTATACTTTGCATAATAGTAATAACTACCAAGGTGTGGTGTATGTGGAAAACATGTACTTCCAAGAAATTATTGAAGCTGATAATAAGGGATGTATATCAGCTACAGCTGGAAGATCAGATGTTCCATATGCTAACAAGAATAGAAAGCTGAAACTAATTGGAAATATTCTCTCCTAAATAAGTTTAGGAGTAAAGAAGCTTACTAGTATTTTACCCATTCTATCTGTTGTAGATAATAGGTTAATTTCTTAACAGAAACTCTTTTTCAGGGGCTGCAGTATTTGCATGAAAACAAGATTATTCACTGTGATATTAAAGCAAATAATATTATCCTAACCACTGAAGAAGCAGTTAAGATTTGGATTTTGGTAAGTTGTGGTTCTTTATACCTAGAAGGGTCATTATTTTCTTTTCAAAAAATTACAGTGTGAACAACAATATACCTATGGGTTTGAATAAATGTATTTTAACAATTTGTCTGTCATGCCACCTACAAGCGGAGGAAAGGGGTGGATTGCACATTAGTAATTTTAATGCAATTATTTAAAATATTGCCCAAAACAAAACAATTCTCGTTTTAATATATTCAGATTTCCCCCTTTTCTTCTGGTGATAGAAAATACTTCTAGCCTGCAGGATACAATGTTTTTTTTTTATCTGCTGAATGAACCTGTTTTGAAATATAGGGTTTTTATGCATATGTTTGTGGAAGAGTCCATATACATATAGACTCACAAAGGTGCTAGTATGACGGAGAAAATAATATGAGAGCCTAGAAAAGAAAGTACACCATGTATGTATAGACTCCATACATTATATACGTTTTTTTCTAGGCTATCACATTCTTTTCCCAGTCATACTAGCACCTTTGTGATCATCAAAATCATAATAATTAATGGCATCTGCATTTGGCAGAATCATGTTCTCAGATTTGTAACTAGCTCCACTCTGTTTTTAAAATGTGCATTCAAAACGTGCTAGACCTTTTTCTCTCTTGGTGGCTAGGCACAGGGGTTTGTCTAAACAGCAGCGGATATGACTGCTGCTTCTTTACCTGGTCTTAAATTGAAACAATTTCTGCAGAAGAAGAAAATGCACCCACTTTCCAAATTTTTTCTCTGACACATATCTTGTGCTGTTTTTACAGTTTTTGTATCGTTCCTTGTTTTAAAAACATTTTAATGTTTGTTATCCGCTGAAAGTCACTGGTAGTCAGGCAGCATTTAAATTATTTTTATCATGGAAATCAAAGCTAAGGTTTTGACTAAATGAGGTGGCGGGAAGGGGGGGGAGACTTACATCTTGGAGTTCCAGCTGTCACAGCAGCATTGCAGTCTTGTGGTTGTGATTTCCAACAATCCCTGCCAGCTTCCCACAAGCAAAATCATTGGGGAAACTGGCAGGAAACTGGAAGCTATGGTCACGTGTTTTCTCTTAACAACCTATTTAGTGCTCACTTAACAACCTGAACTGAGACTGCCAGAACTATGATTGCTAAGCAGCGTAATAATGTGATGTCACAGTTTCAATAAAGGAGATATTTGAAGCCCAAGGTTGAAATAAGGGGTCCATGGTGTTTTCTGAGCTTGGCTGTTTTCCTGCAGGTGTTTCATTACTGAAACTACATCGCATCATCAGTGCTAGATGTCACAGTTTATGACTGTGTCACTTAGCAATGGCAACTCTAGTCCCAATACCTGTCATAACCGAAGACTACCTGCTTTGTCAAAACTAATTTTACCTCTAACCCTCAGGACTATAACAAGCCACATGAGCCCAATGCATCCCACAATCTGACAGAAGTTACACAGTAAAAATCCTGTCCACTTGAGAATAGAAGTTGCACCTTGAAACAAAGCAAGGGCATTATTGGCTAATCCAGTGATTCTAGGCACTGACTTACAATGGGTGTCCGGGATTTTACAACTGAATTTTTGAAAGTCTACTGGAATTAAATTACATTAAATTAAATGCTATTATTTACCGGTACTAGGAATAATTTAGTTTAGGTTAAAAATGGTAGTAGATCAGATTGGACAAAATATAATATTTTATTATGTAGCACTTAATGAATGAATTTGGTGCATTTTAACTGACAACTACAAAATGCATGTGCCCTTAACCCTTTTGTATTACAATATTTCTATCTGCAGATTCCTCAGGGATTCTCAGCCATTTAAATATATCATAGAGGGATAAAAAAAAACCACAAACTAAAATAATCTTACTTTCCATTAAAATGGGGTACAATCTCCCCCTTAACGGATGTTGATACATCATCCCCTTTTCAGAATGATTCCATTGTCATCAGTTTCTCAAAGCCATCAAGGAGACAGCAATTGGGTCTCCATGGAAAAACTGTTCCATGGGGATAGAATATATATTGTTGGGTAGCACCCAGCCAGGCAGAGTGGAGGGAGGGACTCCAGTTAGCTTGGAGTCACTGCGCAACCATGAAAGGGCTAGGACTGATTTCTCTATGTTCCTTGCAGCCTTTTCTAATTGTTTCCAAATGTAGGCTGCCAGACAGATTCTGTACTATAGGCAGAAGAAGATAATGGTAGCTAGCTTGATTTTTGCATGTATGGGTCTTGTTGTTCATACCTGACATATATTAAGAAATAAAGTTTCCTTTTTCCTAATTTCCTAAATTCCTAAAAATATATTTAATAAGATTCTCCTCCATTCTGACCCATGTCTGATGACCTGGGATAATCTAAACCAAATAGAGCAGTTTCCTGGATATTTACAAATATTCTTGCTATGTATACTTAAGTCTGTATGTTCAAAATTAGATATAAATTTTTTTTGAAGGGGAAGGGCAGAGTTAACAGGCCTCTGCCTTTATGCCAGCTTTTGGACATATCAAAAAATTGTAATGTATGAAAACCTTCTCAGATGTAACCTTTTCTGATCTTTTATGTTGCAGTCTTACAGTATTTATGTATTATTGTCTCCTCATAGTATTCTATAGTTATAAACCAGTGGTGGGATTCAAATTTTTTTAATACCGGTTCTGTGGGTATGGCTTGTTGGGCATGGCATGGCTTGGTAGGTGTCGCAGGGAAAGGATACTGTAAAATCTCCATTTCCTCACCACTCCAGGGAAGGTTACTGCAAAATCCCCATTCCCTCCCATTCAGCTGGGACTCGGGAGGCAGAGAATAGAGGGGGGCAGGGCCAGTCAGAGGTGGTATTTACCGGTTCTCCAGACTACTCAATATTTCCGCTATTAGTTCTCCAGAACTGATCAGGACCTGCTGAATACCACTTCTGTTTTAAACTCCATACTTAAAAACCTTCTCAGCCTCTACCTTCATTTTTGTTTACTGAATTTAAGTTCTTTCTTCTGCTTATTATGAAGGATTTATTATGATTATTTGAATTGTTTCAATTTTTAATGCATATGATATAACATATAGAAAACACTAGTCATAAATAATTTAAGCATTTTAATAAAAATAATTAACTTAATTCAACTTGATGCATTTAATTTTTATTTATTTATTATTATTATTATTATTATTATTATTATACAATTGTATCACAGCGGCCAGTTGTTTCGCTGGATTTGGCATTGGTTACTAGTCGGGCCCCACCCAGGGGCCTAGGACGTCGTTATTATTATTATTTTTTTTTTATTATTATTGTTGTTGTTGTTGTTGTTGTTGTTGTTGTTGTTGTT